TTGGGACTTTGTCTCGAGAAGTTGTTGTTCCTTACACAATCGTCTGAACCTTCTTTTAATTGTTAGTGAGGTTCGATTTCCACGCGAAACACTATTCAATCACCTTCTATTCATAAAAAAAAAAAATAATGTACTCTGCTAAACAATCCCAAAATCTAATCACAGTCCCCACGAATTTTGATTGATTTCAAGAATTTTATATCTGAAAGGAAGAAAACCAGATATTGGATTGTGGGATTCATAGAAAACCAGTGATTGGAAGATTGCCGTTCGATTTTCATAGATTTTGGTGGCAAGCTTGTCTTCTTTATAGGCCTACTTTTCTTTGTTCAACTGCGTTTGTTTGCTTGACGGGTCATGGGATGGGACTTAATATTCTTTACCGGAATGAATCTAAAGATTATATATTTCTTAGTGAACAAATATCATATAGGTAATATTGACCACTGCTCTGAAACTGAATCCTGAATCAACATGAAATAATGTTTGTTTAACTGTTCATACATCATTCATAACACCACCAAAACAACCCATGCCCGACTCGAATGAGAAGGGGAGAGATGAATCGTGAAAGCCGGGATAAATTCTTTGTTTCTTTAAGGTTGTCAGGCTGGCAGAAAACTCCTTGTTTACCATTTACGAGCAAGAGTAGTTGGCATGTGAGTTTATCAATGATCAAGTGATATCAGCAATATTATGCAACTGACACGGCGCCAAAAGTAAGCTGATTTCTCCTCTGAGTACAAATCAATGCAGATGCGAAACAATTATCATATTTCATAAGATACAAAAACTGCAGAACTTCTTATGGGAAAGATCAACGGAGACCTTGATCTTTGAGGCACACCTTTGTTCAGTTCTACTTGAATAAATGAGTCATCACTTCCAAGTTCCAACAAGATCAAATATAGAGTTCGTAGTTCAGATGAATTTATTCAGAAGGCACCTTCAGATTTCGCATCAGAGGACTTGAACTTGATAGCAAATGCAAGACGGACCACCAGGTTTGACTGACTTTATATCAGCAGAGAGCCACTGTTTGAAGGAACCCATTGGCATGTATAACGATCTGGTGTTGCGGCTAAATTTTGGTCATAAATAAGGGCATCGCTTCACAATATGGAAACATGGGCACTGGCTGTTTAATCCATCCTTCGCAAAGTTTCAATATAAACAAAGAAAAGGGTTATCAAAAGTGTTAATGTTTTTAAAAAATTTAGGAAAAGAAAGTTATGAATTGAATGTGTATGGCCCCTACGACAAACCACCATAAGTTGCGTAGGCTTTATAACTTTATAAGGGGCTTCCCCCATTTCTTGCTGATTAAATTATGTGCATGGGCCTCGAGCAGAGACTACTAGCTCCTTTCATGAAACAATTGCCACCAATCACACGAATTTTGCAGTTTGTCCGTAATCTATCAGTGGCATTGTTGCTCCTTACATTTGAAGAAAACTGTAAGCTTCAGAAGAATGATTTAGCAATCATTAGGCAATCCTCAACCACTTCAAACTAGATTAACTTTTTTATCTCCATCTTCCATCTACCTTGATTTTTATATGGCAGGAAATAGCATGTAATACCTTGAACTACCCATAATTAAGATTTTCCGTAATAAATCTCTAACATTGGTTACCAATAGTCTCCACAAGTGCAAAAGCCACTTTCGAACCTATGAAATCGGATCCTATCCCTTACTATTATTACCCTATTCAACACCTGTGAAACAATTTTCATCCAAGCGTGGCAATCAAGACAAGTACGAAGGTTCTTAGAAATCTGAATTTCAGTTCCAGGACTCGATTTTATGATCGCATAGGTCAGCGCCAATTTTTCGCTATGATAATTCAAGTTTTCCTCCTTTTCTTCTTCAGATATATCCATGAAAACTAGGTCCGACATAGAGACATAACCTTGCATTCTGGTGCGATGGATCAACGCATCTAATACTTTGTATATTGCTTCAGTTTCAGGGTGATATCGATCAGAAGCCCAGAATTGGTGAATGACACCACTCAATTCCACCAAACTCTTTCCACTACATTTACGGACTCCATTCTTTTTCATAGTGTATCTCACTGTTTCTGCGCTATCCCATTTCTTCATAGAGCTGTAAATATTCGACAGTAGTACATAATCTCCACTTCCAAGGTGCTTTATTCTTGTGATTGCAACTTCACCCAGCTCAGGATTTTTGTGAGTTCTACAAGCACTAAGCAATGCCCTCCATATAACAACATCAGGCTCCATTGGCATTTCCTTAATCATTGCATATGCTTCTTCTAGGAGTCCAGCTCGGGCAAGCAGATCAACCATTGCTCCATAATGCTCAAGTTGTGGCTGAATTGAGTGTTCTCTTTGCATTAAATTAAAATACTTGCGACCCTGTTCTACAAAACCACAGTGACTACATGCTGTTAGAATTCCGATGAATGTTACAGAATCCGCTGAAACATTTTCGACTTTCATGGTTGAAAACACCATAATTGCATCTAAAGCAAGACCATGTAGTGCTAACCCATTTATCATTGCATTCCACACAGAAACATCAGTTCTTTGGGCAGTATTGAAAATCTCTTTTGCTGTTTCAATTCTTCCACATCTTGAGTACATATCTACTAGTGCAGAAGATAAGATGTAATTTACTTCAATTCGTTTCTCGATCATCAAACCATGTACCCATTTTGCATGATTAAGAGCTCCAAGTCTAGCGCATGCAGTTATAACAGATGCAAAAGTAAATCCATCTGGATCAATGTTTTTCCTTAACATTTCTTTGAAGATGTCAATGGCATCCTTAAAGAATCCATTTTTCACATAACCTCCAATTGTTGAGTTCCATGTTATCACATCTCGGGCAGGTATTGCAGAAAAAACTTTCTTGGCAATATCAATTTCCCCAATCTTCATGAAACTGGTGATCACCATATTGGCACTAACTACGTCAAAATCCAAAAAGCAAATTTCACCAAGTAGTTGATGAGCAAGATTGATTTGTTCACAAGATACGTATACCGATACCAACAGTGATAAAAGAGATGGGTACATTCCGTACCCATGTTTAATGATTTTATTGTGCACAGCAACTGCAGTTCTTAAGTTGGGAAACAGTTTGCATGATTCAAGGATGCGAAAAAGCATTTGATCATCTGAAATAACCAGCAGTTGAGGGACAATCAGTTCTAGAACTAAGAAACCCATACATATTTCACATTTAAAAGTGTAATCCAATATTATGTTGGATAATGCATAAAAAACTCCCAATGTATCAAATGACTTGTATATTACAAGAGACTTCACCAGATATCTTATCACGTCATAATATGGGGATAAAACATGATGGTGGAAACTGAAAAAACAACAAATAATAAGCGCAATGATATTCTGATCTTGCACTTAGTGTCACTGGCATGTACAAAAAACATGCAGAAAGCAGAGGGAAGAAAAAGTAGACCAAAAAGTAGAGTAATTCTTGATCCCAGCTAGAATCCTTAGTTCCTTTTTGAGATCCAAAAAAACTGTTTAATAAATGCATCCCTTAATTATGTAGGTCCCCACATGTAACTCGTATTTTCATTTGCAACCAGTTTACATGGAGAGGTTTTCCTTATTATTTTCTTCACAAGAATCCTGAATAAAGGATTCAAAAAGAGAATTATTATTCATATAAACTAATTCAAAACTTAACACCTGATATATTTTATTAAAATAACAGCTTAATAGATTTGGCAGACAACGTCCTAGTTAGAGGGGAAAGCAAAAATTGATTCTTTTTTTCAGACCATACATTCCAGTCCACATAGCAAGACCAATTTTAAAGCTCAAGAAATTATTTTCAATCTATTGCAAGAGAATATCTATCAATAATCATTAAGTACATACAAAATTTTGATTTCACAATAATTCATAGTTAATCTGAACACCATACATTATCATTGACAGCATATAATTACAAAAATTACAGTAGAAATTCAATGCCGCAAGAAATACATAAATGCTCAAAAAAAAAATATTAAAATGGAAAAAATTGGTAAAATCTAGGAAAGGAAAATAACCTGGTTTTGAATAAATGGGTTGTGATGAAGGAACAGTTAAATGAGATTTTGGGATGAAATTGGAATTTTGGGTAAGAGTCAACAGAGAAAACACCCTTCTTCTCACAGTTGACATTCTATTCTTAGAGTAATCCTCTTTTTGATGCTTCAATTATTATTTATCCGTTCCTTCCATTGCGCGAACTCGCCAAGTTCAATTACCGCTGGTGCGTGTGAGAGAGAGGGGAGAGAGCAGAGGGATTTTTTTTTTTGAAGGCTTTAGAGCAGAAAACTTAGGTCGGATTAAAATTCAATTAAAATTTATTCAAAGCTAATAATTAATTTTAAACAACCAACTTTTTAACCAAGAATCTCACAAAAATCAGATTTTAATTCCTATCAAACAGGATCTAAATATTAGTGTGAAAAATCGTGTACCTATTGGAAATAGCTAAAAAAGTCCCCATTCGAAACTTTTTGTATGGAATACTCTTACCATCATGTCCCGTCGATTGTGCCGTTAAATTTAATAAATACCCAAAAAATGGATAAAATAGAAAGAGCAAGACCCCCCCTCCCCGCTTCCCTTCGCTTAGACACGGCGCGAAGAATTGGCGAAATACTTCATGTCTTCTATTTTCTTAATAAAAATATGGAAAATGACGAATATATTCTTCTATTTAAATAAAATAAAAATAATAATAATAAAAAGTAATTGCAACTATAGTTCTATTTTTTTTTTAAAAAAAAAGTACAAATGAGTTGCAAAAAAATACTTAAAATTTTAAAATAAAAAAGAGCATTTCTACTCGCTCTCATAGAGCATTTCTAAGAGACTCTCTATTTTTAAAAAGCATATTCAACCATGTAGAGAGTATCTATTAATCTAAAGAATTAAAATTTTGAAGTACTCCAACGAGCTCTTTATATTTAACACTTGATTTTACTATTCCTAAAAAATATTTATTATTTTTCTTTATCTTTTATTTTAACTAGCTTTTCTTTATATTATTTT